ATAGAGTCCCTGGGGTATTATGGTGGTTGTAGTAAGAATGTTAAGTAAGAATGTGTTGTTTTGTCGCGTGGGTTATTGTAGCATGTCTGGCTCAGTGATTGTGGCTAGCTAAGTTTATTATAAAACAGATGAAGACCAGCCTTCTCATTTCCTCATTCTGCCTTATTTGTACTCATGTTCAATAAATATTATGAGACCGACGAGGGGGAAGAATGGATTTGCAGCTGTTTGGACTCGAGGAGGTGTCTCGCTAGAACAATTACGACCGAAAAGTGAGTTCGACCCTCATTGGGTGTACCATACTTTCGGCCTTGTGCTACATCTAAGCGACGCTTGGATAATCACTATTTGGACTTAATGCGCTGTGAATTTGACAGTTTTCTTCAAACTCTTATCCAAAACAAAAATCTTTGTTTACAACATCAAAATGGGACATTAAAAAAGGTGAAAAATGCAATTAGAAGCAAACATTTTTAGGTGTAAGTTCACATAATCAACATCAAAGTTCTTCTGAAAGCTTTTATACCAGCAATTTATAGAATCACAAAAGAAATGAATCTCCTGAAAATTTAACGATGTGAAGGTTGCATTTCTGTGACATTAATGGTTTCATGGTTGGTACTTTTCAAACCTTATTAAAGATTAGAAAATAAGAAAAAAGTCAGGAGATGCTAAATTAGGATAGTGTAGTTTGAAAACGTATCGAAGAGATGTTTGTGTGTTTCCTTATATGATAAGAAGAATGGACAGCTGCGTTTTTATAGTGGAATAGTATTTTCTAATGGAGCTTTACTGGTAAATATTTAGCTAATTTTATCAAAGTATTAAGCAGATGTTCCTGATTTTTTCCAACCTTAAAAGGTCAACTAGCACAATAGCCTTTCTAGTGGAGAAGACCGCCGCCAACTGTCTTTTGCTTTATCTGGACCTTTTCCGCTTTTGGAATATGTATGGAAAAGTAAAAAAAAACTAAAAAAAAAACCTAAAAAAAACAAAAAAAAACACAATCATAATGTTTGATGAAGTAAGCAAAACAATAAATAAAAACTTTTAAAAAAAGAATAAAAACGAAAGAAAGCCTCTAGACGAAGAAAGAAAAGGGAAAGAAAATTATAAGATAAAAGAGAGAAGAAATAAATAACACAAGAAAAAAAAGAAAGGAAACTTGAATAATAGAAACGCCATATGATGTGAATGAGATAAAAAAGAAAGTAAAAGAAATATGAGAAATAAATGAATAAAGAAAGAAAGAAAGAAAAAAAGCTACATTAAGAAGGAAGAAAAGAATATGTAAGAAAGAAAGAAAGAAAAGTAACCATAGACAATAAAGAAAGACGAGAAAGCAAACAAAAAAGAAAGATAGTAGTATAAGGAAAAGAGGGAGACAAAATATGCATAAAAAGTAAGGGAGAGTAGAAAAATGTATTAAAAGAAAGAAAAACGAATTATGAATATAAAACTACATACGATAAAAAAAAATGAAACAGAAGTGAAGAATAAGACAGAAAGACAATAAGCTGGTGAAAAGAATTAGGAAATAAAATAATGCAAGAAAAATCAAATCAAATCAGAAGTAATAATAAAAAAAACAGAATCCATTAATAGAAATTATTGTCATATCCAGTATTTGATATATAAGAGAAAAAAGAATTATATCGGGTATAGTTTATTGGGCTCGTCTATTAGCCCAATCTTACCTTCTTCGAGTAATGCACTATTCCAACTTTCGGTCTTAAATCTAGCCCTCTGATTGGTTCATTTCTACCAATCAGGTCGCCCGCACGTACACTTCGAAGTTTTGGCTACAATCGCTCTGGAGCCACCCACGTGATCATGACCTAACATAAAAATTCTTTCAGATTTAACTCAATGCTACAGCAAATTCCTTAGTTTATTCTGCACATCCCCAACAATTTGATGGTCAAAGGCGGAGAGGGGATATTTTTTTTATTGTTAGGTTAATTTAGTTTTAATTGGGATTATTTGGGCCATTTAGTGATAATATATCCCGACTTAGATATTTAAGATAAACTAAATTTATCACTGTCATGCTCGAGTAGGTTGATTACGGAACCCGCTTTATAAGTATTGTTTATTGTAAAAAAAAAGTAATAATCTTTTACATTTCCCAACATGCTTTTTGTCAATCACTTACACACATCACTCCTTCACTTGCACTCGCTTGTATACATACACCCTTGTCTAAATTAATTGAAACAAAACGAATAATTCCGTTATTATTAACTTTTTTCGTATTTTCCCAATGAAACATGACCCAGTGCACATGTTAGTACTTCGTATGTCCATTCCACGAATTCGTTCGTTGCAGATTGACCACAGATTCTCGATTTGACTTAAATCAGGAGAGTTTCCCGGCCAGTCTATAGTACTTGATTTTCTCACTGGTAAGGCTTGCCAGTGTGTTCTTGCAGCTTTACAATTTTCGTACGCTTCACTGGACTAACGTCCATCGCAGACAAAGGTCGTAGGACAACTAATCGACAGTGGAGACAATAGTGTCTGTTTGTGATAAAAATCTGATGTAATCACGGATGACGCAATATTTTTCAAGACCAAACAAATTCCATCATACACCCCATAATAGATTCATATTACTGCACATTATTGCAAATGAACTAATCTGAGGGAAAAATAGAAATCAATTACACCCTGTCACTCAAGTGGGTCTAAAATTGACCGTATGATTAAAGAAAGGAAACTAAAGCGGATGTTTCAATTAATTTGCATAAGGGTGTTCATATATATACATGATGGTGGTTTCCTCGTTGTTGAGTAAAGATATCGCTTCGTTTTGCTTATCCGTAACGATAAACGGCAATAGCTATGGCCAGTGTCGATAGCACACAAAAAGATGATGATAGCGTGAAGTAGGTTGATGATACTCTACAAACAGATTATTATTGTCTCTGTTACTGATTTTAATATTGATTGAGAGAGCATCAAGCCCCCAAAAAGAAACGCTGTGTTCCAAATATACGAAACCGAATATGGCACCTACTCTAATCAGTCATTATATGGGAACCTTTGTTTCAACGTGATATGGCCGTAAGCCAGCATTGATCTGAGAAAAAAGGATGATGGTTTATACACTTGTAATGGTCAGAAATTAAAGCAAGCGTTACTTTGGGAAAAAAAAACTGTTACTTAAATAAGCTGATATATTCATATCAGCATATAAATGTTTATATTAAAAATACATATGATTAAATAGTGAAAGATTAGGAAAACTAATTTAGTCATTTTGTCAGGTTTTTTCATTATTTTAATTTCCTGACTACATATGAATAAACTATGCGTAAATATATTAGTATATGCTTTATTATATTAATATAAAATAGTAAACGCAACGAGTTAGTGTAGAAATCTAAAAATCTTTTTTGCGGTGATTTAAGTGACATTTCTCTTCGCTAGACCAGTAGAATATTCGCGCTTACATTGTCTATCGTGTAAAAAAAAGAAAAAGAAAGACATAGACTGTAACAATTAACAATGCACACATTTCGACTATCTGATACCATGTCATAGAATCTATCAAGCCTTTGTGTTGTTAGCTGCAGTACAATCACTGCCAACATATAGTTACGCTTGGACGGATAATGTGACTCCTATGGGAATAGCTGATATCAGAAGGACCGCGTTACTCCATTGCCTCTTTCCGATTCATCCGCGCTCAGCCGAATCACTCAGTCGTGCGAGACAAGAAAACATTCTGATAATAACCTGACAGGGATAAAATAGTCCGCATAATCGACGCTCTTCGTCTATAGAATCGTGCTTCTGATGCAAGATTCCTATCAAATAGATTGGCATCCAAGTACAGCATTGCAATTATGACCAAGTGTTTCTTTTTATCTCAGGAGGGTGGAAGATAGACATAAACCAAAATGGAACCACTTGCATCTTCCTTTAAAATGCTACAGCTACTAATTTATATTCTAGCCATGTATGGTTATGGGAATTATTCTGCTTGTAACAGCATTTCCTTAAATGTTGCTATCAACGCTGTTCTAGAATCTCCAAGGAAACAAAAAGAAGATGTTTCTTGAAACAGGAGAACGACAAAGTATAAAGTAATTTTTACGGGCGAGCTTTGCAAATTCGCTTCCATGTATTAGACTGTCAATATTTACTGTTTTTTTTAAAATAAAGTTTTTAAGTTCAGTATTTTTTCCCGTTTTATTCCAAATGCTTTAGCATAATTATTTATCTTTTAAATGTTATTTCCCTTCACAACATTGACGATTATGTCTCTCCACAACTACCATTCCCTTTTAAATCTAAGCAATATTATTTTAACCTTACTCTCCATCTCAGCTCCTGTTCTGCTATCCATTTACACAGTTTTGTTTGATTAGTAATTCACTGTTACAATTTACTCCAATTGTTTTTAATGTGTTGTGAGTTAAATTTTCTAAGCCTCCTTTCATTATTACGTGCTACAGAAATTTTTATCTCGCTTTCTCGTTCAACTACAAGTGGGCGTTTTGTTTCCATTATCCTTAAAGCTTCCTTTCTACTTGCATATTTCTTCCAATATTCTGCAGAACCTCGTTTCTATTGCCTCATGTTATCTCTTCATCTGAGAGGAAAATGTCTGACATTAATTACTATTTAAAAGGACCGATATATATATGACACATTAATACTCTTTCCCTTTTTTTTCCCTGTTTCTTAATGGCTTTGTCGGAGTTATTTCCTCCTTAATTTACTAATTGTTACTAGGGGTCTTTCTTCCTACACTATAAATACTGGGCAAATTCTTGCCCCGTTCTCTTTTTCATTTCTTCATTTCAGCGACTACAATGTAAGCTCTATTAGAAGATCCGCGTCTTTCTATTTGTGGAAAACGCCATGAACATTATACACGCAAACAAACGTACGTACGAACATTCATCAAAGAACAAACAAAAATGCTCACACACACGAAAATGTTAATGTCTATGTCCATTGTAAAATTGTGTTGTTTAATACATATATTTCATATATTTTTTATATATATATATATATATATATATATATATATATATATATATATATATATATATCGGTCTTGTTGGTTTGTCTTCTTTACATCTTCAGTTGGACTTAATTCAACTCGGCCATTTTCTTGTAGTTGTACCTTCTTCTAGCAGGAATAAATAACACATGTTTTCTTTTCATCTTCTTCTCCAGGTCCTCTACAGCTTGTTTGATTTTTAGAAGACATCTTTATCTATTGCAATAGGCTTTAAAGATTACAATGCCCCCATTTTAACGACGATATCTCTGCCATTGACTGCTATGTTCCCCTTTCAAGAAGATCTAAGATATGACCCGAAAAAGAAAGAGTCAGTCGTTGTATGCATCGACATCTTTTTTATCATTCCCCACCCAACCAATTTAAAGGTGGGATGTTCTCTTATTAAGTTATACAGAGTCTTTTCCAATATGGAAGACCATTAAAAAGGTTAATAAATTCTCTCTACCCATTTGGGTCTGTGTCAGATATTTCTTTCTCATAGACAATTTGCATTCTATAAACTTAAGTATCTTGACCATCGACATACATTTTATATATATATATATATATATATATATATATATATATATATATATATATATATATATATGGGCAACAATCTTTCTTATTTCGTTGAAAAATTTGAATATTTTATTGAGTTTTTTAGTATTATTAACTTTTTCTTTTTTTGGTGGGAGTAAGTGACTAAAAATGTCCGTCGTGTCACTTGAGCCAATCGCTTTTCAGGAACTACTTCAAAGCCATATTCAAGGTATTTTAATTGATTTTCACAGTTTATTCTTTTAAAGAGGTAAATGTGTGATGCCTATTATAGGAGAGTAGCGTTTATTCCGGTCTCAGAAACAAGACCTTTAACATATTGTCTCCGTTATATATATATATATATATATATATATATATATAAAAAAAACATTTTTAAATATCTTAAAATGTTTTATTATAATCTCTTATAATAATAATATAATAATAATAATAACATTTTGCTCTACTTTGTATTGAACACTTTTTAAAAAGTAAATACTACAAAGGGTGCATTTTTACACCATTTGTTCTTTCTCTCTCTACAGATATATATATATATATATATATATATATATATATATATATATATATATGTGTGTGTGTGTGTGTGTGTGTGTGTGTGTGTGTGTGTAAAAACGTATAAGCAGAAAATATGGTTGTTGAACTTAGTTCATTTCATAATTGTTGAAACTTGACTAATGCATGGAATAATAATGCAACACAAACTGTACTTAGAACAAAATGTATTGAAACAAGAAAGTGTACACAATATTTACATATAGTCTTTTGTATATTCTTGGGAAGACCGTTCCTGGAGAATGCGTTGACTTAGTCGCAGTCGGGTAGAGTCTCCAGATTGAATCTCTTGATTCCTCCCCCCGTCTTCCCGGTACCAACCATATTTATATGTTCGGTACTCCACTATGCAAATTAGGTGGATCCTACCACAACAATAATATAGCTTACTATATATATATATATATATATATATATATATATATATATATATATATATGAAAGGGACTAAGTCGGATAATTATTTTAATATATTTTCTGTTTATATGTTATTTTATAATACAAATATTTAAGTAAATCCTCTGTTTATACTAAAACAGTAATAATTACATGTATAATAATTACATGTAATAATTACATGTAAATAATTATATGTAATAATTACATGTATAATAATTACATGTAATAATTACATGTATAATAATTACATGTAATAATTACATGTATAATAATTACATGTAATAATTACATGTATAGTAAATTTTGACTTTAACAAAGTTCTTTTTTTTAAGTAACACAATAATGATTAGAAAATTAATGAATTTAAAATAAATTGCTCATGGGTAAGAACATTCCATGTTGTGTCTTGGTCTCAGATAAGTAGGGTCAGAGATCTTTGATGAGCGAGTAGGTAATATGATTGCCATATTTATTTATAAATTTATTTTAGTCAGGAATGGGGGATTAATATCAATTATTGTGAACTAAATGCAAAAGACTAGATCAGAATTTGAACTCGGATCTCTGCTTCCACTCTTCGCGTCAATATCGCTACCTGAGCCGCAAATCACTGAAGATAAATATTCAAAATTTAAAACAAGTGATTTTTTTTATCATTATGATCTAGAATTATTGATGCCCTCATGCATGCGAATAAATGTATGTGGGCATTATATTGAATTTGACCGGAGGCAAAGTTATCGTCTTTTATTTTTAGTTTTTTGGCATTATAATTTCTGTCTAAATTTCGAAGATGAGGAAGAATCATTATCATTCTCTGGATTATTCTAACTGCTATCTGCTATTTACAATAATAACGTTTCGATCGTTATTCTTTCCGGTAATTGTTATCTACGTAAATGGATTTGTCTCGTTTTGATGTCTGTGATAAGGGAGATAACTCATTTTAGTTAATCCGATATCACAACTATGAATTTATTAGATTCGTCCTTGTTATGTTGCTACTAATCTTTGCAATCCAATCATATATGGATTTCCCTGCCTACTCCATAAAATGAACTCGCGACCATCATGTTAGTGTATTTTCAGGAAACGCCATGTAATTTAACATATAAACATATAAGCATGCATATATATGGCCCTTTTAAAGAAAAAAATCGTTTATTGTGTCCAGGGCAATAAGTGTTGTGCTGTATAGATCGGTAACAAAGTCCGATTATAGGTTATATAAATATAAATGATGCAATCCAACATGAAATGCGATTTTATTTTGGAGGCAATTACGCTTACTCTGACTCTTCGTCCGGTTAAGAAGGCAATTGGCACGTCCAATGTCAAACATTAGCGTATGGCATAAATTCAGCTTTCGGCCGACCTTTATAGTTTGTATTATGGGCACTTAAAATCGTTGAAGAAGACGAGAAATGAGATAATGTAAAACTCGATAGAGACGAATGTCGGTTAAAAGATTGCGTTTTCATATAATATCTATTATTATTTTTCGAGCTAAAGTCGGGTTAGCTTATAAAAACAAATTAAAAAGAAAATATTCGATATATTTAAGCATCAGGTTTGTTTTTAGAATTCTTCTTTCATATCTTATAATACTGTGGATTTCAATTATAGCATTAGTCTCTCCAAGACAAAATTCGAAATTGCGTTTTCTTTACATATGTGTTTCAGTTTTGCAGAGGATATTTTGTTCGCATGCTAACGCGATTAAACGGACAGTTATGCTCCAGGGTTCACATTAATTATGTATAAATGTAAATCATTTCCAGTAGATGACTATTTGAAAAGAAAGATGCTTGTATACATACATACACACATAAATATATATTTACACACAAATGAAATGAGAACGAATCAAATATACATTCAAACGTTCACAACATGAATTTAAAAATAGGGCTCAGTACAATAGTAGAGCAATAATTCTTTATAATAGGATATTACGTTCGAACTTATGTAAAACCGCTACGTTAACGCATTCATGTTTCGATGCATCTCATCGCATCTCATCAGGAGTTGATAAATTATTATACTTTTTAATATTTACTTACATACAATCTCTTTTCCCGCGAAAAATAAGAAAAGAAAGACATAGGATATAGTTTCCTCTAAAAAGAATAAAGAAAGATATATTTTCGAGAAAAGAAAAAAAAAACAAGATGTAGACTCTTCAAATAAGAAAAAAGAAGAAAGAAAATAGGAAGAGCGACAAGAAAAGAAAGACACTAAGATATAGTCCTTTCTCAAAAAAATGAGAATAAAAGAGAAAGATAAATAAAAGGGAGATATTGAAATGTAAAGAAGTTAGACAAGATATGTCGATAATCGGTTCAACCAATCAAAATATTCTATGTTAAGATGTCATAAACCATAGATTCAAAATTCAACGGAGACATATTCTCTACTTGAAAGAGAATTTTGATAGAGTGTAACGACCACGAACAGTTGACATTTCCGCTGAAGATATATATATATATATATATATATATATATATATATATATATATATATATATATAAAAAATATGTTGTAGTGGTTCCACCGAGAGAAAAAAGTATGTATATTAAAAAAAAAAAGGTGCTTTTGTTTTACGTTTTTTTGTAAATGTGGATTTATTTAGAAAAAATATTATGCTTTGTTTTTTTTTTTTAAATAAATATATATATATATATATATATATATATATATATATATATATATATATATATATAAATTTTTATTATAACAATAAAAAAGTTAGATTATTTTAATTTTCATGATTAAAAAGAAAAGTCAATAGTAAAAGAAACACAGCCGACCAATTTCGCCGTCACTCAACAGAGCAGAATCGAGCGATTATATATTGCAATAAAACATAAAAACTATATGTAATTTTAATGAAGGCGGAATACAACTTAAATTGAAATCACATTAAATCTTAAGAGACACACCCTTTGAGGAAAGGCTGTCAGGGCCAAACATAAATTGTTTCCCACACCTTTATCTGCAATATAGGCGAGAACGACTCATGATGGGAAGTTAGCGGAACAAATTTGGTTTTTAATAATATATATATATATATATATATATATATATATATATGTGTGTGTGTGTGTGTGTGTGTGTGTGTGTGTGTGTGTGTGTGTGAAAAGTGTGTGTATATAAATATAATAAATATATATATATATATATGTATATATATATATATATAATTATTTATATATTATATGCAACAAATATATATATATATATATATATATATATAGAGAGAGAGAGAGAGAGAGAGATTGAATTGGACAAAGTCCGACAATTATTTTAAGACATTTTCTTTGTTTATACGTTCTTTTTATAGATACAAATATTTAAGTAAATGTTCTGTTGATAATAAGTACTGTTAACGACATTTACCGGCCTGAATGTCCGAGAAATTTTCATAGAAAATTTACATCTTCCGACAGTAATCGAACCTGTATCCTATACGGAACCATCATATAGCCTGATGTGCTTTACCGATTTAGCTACAGAGGAGCGTTTCGGTTAGCAAAGTCGATTTTTACTGTTTTTAAACTACAATTCTCCATGATTTTCTCTCGTACATTCATATCTGCTCGATGCGTATCCAAATGTAAACAAATGACGTCACACATTTTGAAATGGACAAAGTCCGACAATAATTTTAAATTTGTAAAAAACATGACGTCATTTGTCTACGTTTGGATACGCATCGAGCAGATATTTCTCGGACATTCAGGCCGGTATATGTCGATAATACTGTTTATTATAAACAGAGCATTAACTCAAACTTTGTATCTATAAAAAGGACGTATGAACATAAAAAAATATCTTGAAATATATATATATATTGATATGTTGATTTTGATTTGTTAATTGCTGTTTGGTTTGAAAGAATATTTTTAGAGAGTCTGTATTTTGCCCGATAATAATGTCGATGAGGATTTTAAGATTTCACAAGGGACACTCGAACTACCATTGCATTATTTGTCTTGAGTAAGATGTGATATTTTCAAAACAGCATTCAGTTGTGTAATTGTTTTGTAGAAGGGGAAGAGGGGTGAGTGAGTAAGGGAGCATAAGAGAAGGAGGAAGAAAATGAGAGCGAAGGATTTCTTCTGAAACGAATCAGAAGATAAAGAAATAAGAAAGCAAAGCAGAATAAAGAAACTGAGAAGAAAAAGAAAGCGAAAAAAAAAAAGAAGAAAAAGACGAAAGAAAGAATGTGAAGATGAAAAAAGAAAAAAAAAGACAAACAAAAGAAAGACAAAAAAAAACAAAGTAGGAAATACGTAGAATGTGACGAAAAGACAAAACAAGAAGTAAAATCTAATTAGAAAAAAAAAACCAAATCAGAGATATAAAGAAAATTACAAAAGAGAAAAAGTATTTCTTTCTCGTAATTAAAGAAAATAAATCCAGAAGAGGAAAATTACAAGAATACAGGCAAAAAGAAAAGAAATTCTAACCAGAGGAAAAGAATGTAGAAAAAGTACAAAAGAGAAAGAAAACGTAATTAGATGAACAGAAATAAGTAGATGTTGTGGAGCTATTTCTCAGTGGAGGCTTGTATTTGTACTAAGTCGGTCCTAAAATAGGTTCGACGTCGATGAGTAATTTACTCGCCGTTTTCTCCTGGTTCTCTTTCATTGTGAGTGTTAAATTCTCTTAGCACCCTTTCTCATTATGTGGTCCAGGAATATTAGCTCTCTTTTGTTATTGCAAGTATATATATATATATATATATATATATATATATATATATATATATTATGACTTTGACTTTGACCGCCGCAAGATATGTTGCGGTTTCTGTAACAAGGATGTTTTTTTTTAGCGTTAGGAACTTGATATAATAGGTATTACGCAGAGTAATCTTATTGTGGTCGCTGCTTACTTTCGTATTCGACTAACTGTCGACTGACATCGACTGACCCTCGTTTCTCTTACTACTCCTACTTATATTAGGTGGGAGAGTCTATTAACTATAAAATAGGGTGTGTTTCACCTTAACAGCAGAAAAAGAAGAAAACCTAATCAAAAAAGAAAAGTATGTTATAAGAGATAAAAAGAAAAAGTAGAAGCTAAACCCCAAAAGAAGAAAAAGAAAATAAAGAAGAAAGGAGACACAGCAGAAGAGAAAGAAAAAAAACAGAAAGAGAAAAGCTAATCAGGGCAATGTAAGAAATATTAAAATTACAAGCAAAAAAAAAAAAAAGAAAGATAAAGAAGGAAACCTAACCATGAGAAGACAGAAAATATTTCAAGACGAAGAGACACGGTTGGAAAAAGAAGACATAGTGAAAAGTAAAAGAAAATATAGGAGACAAAAATGAAAAGATGAAAAAAATAAACGACGAGAAGTGTTACGGTTTTTTGGGTATATACTACACATAACAAGAGAGCGAGTCAGAATGACTTATTTCCCTTTATACTCGACCAATAGAAGGTTGACCAATCAGAAGCCGCCCAACACTGTATTCATAGTGTATAAAGGCGGCCATCTTGTTTCCTCCTACCGGAAGGACCAAAGGCGACCAGGAGAAGGATGAACTACACTCTGCTGTGATATCCACTGCGAACCTGCACTACGCTTTCCTACTGTCTCCGAAATATTCACTGCCAACCTCTGGATTCGATACTCGAGGACGACCGTCATGAAAATGTCTAACAAGAAGAACATTACTAGAAGAGACGAAATGAAAAAAGAAGTTGAAAATGAGAAAATTACAAGTGAGAAAAAGAAAATCTCGTTAGAAGGTTAAAAGGAGAAAATTGACAGACAAAATGACAGGCAAAAAAAAAAAAAACGAAACCAGAAAAAGAAAATTGCAAAAAATAGAGGCGACAAAAAGAAAAAAAAAGAAGAAATTGCTGGAAAACAGAAAAGAAAACTGAACCAGAGGAAGACGAAGACGTAAAAAAGGTAAGAATGATAATTAAAAATACAGATAATGAAAAAAAAAGTCGAAAATAAAAATTATTGAAAAGAGGTAAATATTTTGAAAAGAAGAAAACGCTGAAGAAAGCTTCTGTTCACATGTCGATGATGATTAAGTTGGGAATTGCTGCTCTAATATTAATGAATATTCAAGAAGTAATTTACTGATATAAACATTAATTCATGTATGAATAGAGTGTCAAATTAATTCTTCGATGCTTTCTCTTCCTCTTTTGTAATGGCGCTAAACACATCAAAGCCAAGAAAGTCACAATTGTGTATTATCAAGAGTTCAACAGGCGATACGAGTGGCCTTTGCAGACTATACCTCCTCACGATAGACAAGATTTAATCGTAATAATCAGCTGTGTAACCGCTCAACAAAAGAAATCTTGATTAATAAATGGCATCCAGTAATCATTTGACGTCCGCCATTGCGCAGATTCTCCAAATTTCCTTTTATAGGAAATCATGGAAAGCGGTAATGAGCTGTTGTAAAAGGTTACTTTTTTTTCTTGGTGACCTTTACTAAAAAGGTTAGTTGCAGCATGTCACGGGTTGGATAAATAAAACAACAATGAAATGAAAACGATACAAAATACTTCAGTGCCATATTAGAATATTTTTAATATTGAATATTAAATATTTCAAGTCAGTAAAATTTCTCACTGAATATCAAATTTGTATACAAATTATTACGCTGTCAATACATACGTATCACTTAGAAGCATGTTAATAAGCAGCTTATAATGGACGATTATAGGGCTTAAAACGCTCGCTTTCCGATTATTAAACACGTGTTCGAATCGCACCATGGTTCATTTGTCAAGAAGGTGAAATGTTGGCGTTATCGATCTGGCCACAGTTGAAAAGGAGCTGAAAACAATACCACAGCTTGACACAAGCCGTGGTATTGTGGATAGACGTAACTTTTTGACAGCCATCGAAGGGGAAGCTAGCACGAAGTCACAAGTCATCGTGACAGAGGGTTAGAGTGTACTGATTTTCTTCAAACTTCCGATCAGGCCAGATTATGTGCCCTTTCCCGAAAACTGCAACTAAGGTCTCGTAAGTTTAGTTGCAGTATGAACCACTAGATAATCTCTGTTGGTGTTCAATAAACACATATGTGTCTGAGCAGGCAGCTGCAACAGGGATTGGTTAGCCGCCTTACAAGACGAGTTTTACTGGAAACGAGAAGACGGCTATTATTATTATAATGAGTGGCACGGCAAGAGAAAACAATACAAAGTTTGATATAGGTCTTCGCTAGAATTTCGTATTTTATATGCATTGAATATTTATGGCTCTCCTGACTTCCTGTTTTTGTTGACGTCGATGAGTAATTTACTCGCCGTTTTCTCCTGGTTCTCTTTCAATGTGAGTGTTAAATTCTCTAGCACCTCTTTCCTCATTATGTGGTCAGGAATATTAGCTCTCTTTTTTATTGCAAGTATATATATATATATATATATATATATATATATATATATATATATATATATATATATATATTATGACTTGATGACCGCAAGATATGTTGCGGTTTCTGTAACAAGGATGTTTTTTTTAGCGTAGGTTGTTAGCCTACTGCACAATGCCTAACCTGGGGGATCAGGTTTTGAATTCAGAATTGTCTTTCTTCTAGACCAGTTGCCACCCAAGGCTATAGAACCCTGTCTGTCCTGCTATTTACTCATAGCTGGGTAAATAGAATAGGATTCATATCTTTCCCAATGGTATTACCACGTAAGTGAATGTAATGCATTTGACTGGAATTCGAACTCGGCTCTCCGATTCCTCAATCCGTGTCCACTATTGTAATATAAGTGAACATTTATTAAAACTTCCTCGTTACTTATATATTCCGTCCATATTAGTTACACCATTCGTTACTTTTTCATCAGTATTATACAAGAGTTTAAATATTACATAGAAATTCGTCACTTTTATTTTGTTTCAAACGAAATTTTTGACTCTCTTAATACTTTGCATATTTTTTGGAAGGCATCTTTTACTATTTCAATGTAGCTTCGGATTTCGGTGTCACATTTTCGCACATCTCTTCAAGTTCTTTGACATATTTTCAAGCACTAATATCGTTTATAATCATGTTTATTTTAATTATTGCATCTAAAGCAAGGTAATAAAGCCACTTAATCACAAGAAATTACTGAGTATGAAAGACTATGAGAAAATGAAAAAAAAAATTAAGGAGAGAAAACAATAAAATGTAGGATTTAAGAGGACAAAAGATCAAAGGTGACTGGAAGACAAGAATCAGAAAGAAAGTTCCTCAAGCAAAAAAATGCTAGAGAAGAAACTTAGCATAGAAATGACAGTTATGTTTAGAAATTGCAACTGTAAAATGATGAGACCTAGCTGCCAATCTAGTACTGCGATTAAATTCGTAAAGCTCACCAGAACAATTGCCATGAGCATATTTAGAAAATAGGCAAATTAAAGCTATGATACAGGGATGGGAAGTGCATGAAGCCGAGATGTCGGGTTAGGAGTT